TTGATTACCTTGACTCTTGTCACAAAGATGTAAAAGTAATAACAAAACATAAATGGAAAACTACGGATTCAGGAATTGTCTCTTCTAGTCATCCTCCAACCCAAACTTTTACATTTAATTCTGCTGACAAACAAATCGTGGCTTCACCATTTAAGATCCCTCCTCCTGAAAATACTAAGGCATCAACCGAACAAGTAGCTTTAGATAAATTTCAGAAAAGAGTAATTGAACAAAACAATTTTACTAATCAAAGCTTAATTGTTTTAGGCCAACAATTAGATAAGATTGAAAACAAAATTGAAAAAATACCTATTTCCCCAAAGAAATTAGAAAAACCTCTAGTAACCCTACCAGAAGATAGGACTAAATTAGGAATACCAGATCAACTTAGGATTGCAAAGATTGATCAGTTAATTAAAAAATTAGATGCACAAACCGAAACATCACAAACTTCTCAAGTAACTGTAATTAACAAAAATTCTGAAACTGAAACTGAGACTTCCATATCTTCATCTGAGGAAGATATTAAAAGCTTAGAAAAACAGTTCACTGACATAAGCATAAGTGCACCTATTTCTAAAATCAATAAGCTGGTTTTCCCTTCTAGTTCTACAAAAAATTGGTACTCCAAACCCACTCCCCCAGATATTCAATTTGAAGAGAAAAATATTTCTAACCAATTTTCAGTTCAATCTAACAAGCTCTATGAATGGAACATAGATGGATTAAGTGAGCAAGAAATTCTCAACAAAATTCATCACATGTCTATGGTCATTAATAGTTATGTAAATAACCTTAATGATCCTGAACCCCAAATTGTCGACTTAGTTACCTCAGGATTTACTGGAGTACTGAGGAGTTGGTGGGACAATTACCTTACTCCAGATTCTAGAGATGATATTAGAAATGCTGTTGTTCTTGATGATGATGGCATTCCAATTTTTGATGAGAGACTTGGCAGATCAAAACCAGATGGTTTAAACACTTTAATATTCACCATTGTCAAACATTTTGTTGGCACACCAAGTAATATTGAAGCTAGGATTCATGACCAGCTTAGTAACCTCAGGTGCCCAACACTTAGTGACTTTAGATGGTATAAAGATGTTTTTATCAATAGAGTTATGCTTCGCCCAGACTGTAATAAATCATTCTGGAAAGAAAAATTTGTTAATGGTTTACCTAATCTATTTGCCCATAAAATCAGAGAAGCCCTTAGCAAAGATACTGAGATCATAGATTATGATTCACTCACTTATGGCCAACTTGTTAGTACTATCCAAAAGGAAGGACTTAGGATGTGTATTGATCTCAAGATCAGTAAACAATTACAACACGATAAAAAGAAAGCCAAATATGAAATGGGGAATTTTTGTGAACAATATGGTCTCCCTCCAGTGGCACCATCAACCTCTAAAAAACTTAAGCACAAATCCCATAAAAAACATAAGTCATATTCAAAACATAAATCTTATTATAAGAATAATAAAGATTTACTCACTAAACCTCAATTTTATAAAAAATCCAAAAAGACTATTAGACCAAAACCTAAGAAAACAGGGAAAATGTCTAAATGGTTAAACACCAATAAAGACACTATAACATGTTATAACTGTGGGAAAAAGGGTCACAAAAGTCCCGATTGCCCAATTAAAAAAGAGGTTAAAAAACTTAATCTAACCAATGAAGAGACTGAAGAAATCCTAAAAATCTTCAGACTTCATAATCCGGAAGACTCAGACTCAGACAATTCTGATAACTCAGACAATCCTGATAATTCCCTTGACTCTTCTACACCTTCTACGACAAGCGAACCTGATATTAAATTAGGATGTAATGACAATTGTTGTAAAAAAATAAGAGTAATCACAGAACAAACTGAAGAACAAATTTTAATTGACTTAATCAGTAAAATTGAAGAACCGCAATTAAAATCTAAATATATAAAAAATCTTAAGGATCTGTTTGTAAAAACAGAAAAAAACAAACATCTTATAATAGAAAAACCTTTAATTAGTATTAACAAAACTATGGAAAGGTTTAGTAAGGAAAAGAAAAAAGAATTAACCTTACAAGATCTTTATAGTGAAATTAATAAATTGAAAGTTGAAATAAAAGATTTAAAAGCACAAGACAAACTCTTGGCAGAAAAATTAAGTCTTTTATCCGACACTCTTGAGCAAGAACCTCAAGATAATTACCGATCTGACAGTGATAAAACTGATAATTCAACTAAGACACTTTCCCAGCGGATACCCGTAGCCTCCACCTTCAATGTGGAAAACTCTGGTTTAACGAAGCTGCCATCTCACGATGGGTGTCTACAAACAGAAAATCAAATTAACTCTATCAAAGAAATTAAATTACAAAAATGGTATTTCCAAATCAAAATCATTATAGCAAATGATTTTATTATTAATACAGTAGCCCTTATTGATACAGGTGCAGATGTAAACTGCATGCAAGAAGGACTTATCCCAACCAAGTACTATGAAAAAACCATTCAAAAATTAAAATCAGCTAATGGTACAAACATGGATGTCAAATATAAATTACCTAAAGCTCATATCTGCCATGACAATGTTTGTTTTAAAACCTCATTTGTCTTAGTAAAAGATATGACTGATGAAGTGATTTTAGGATTACCCTTTATTTATCTTCTGACCCCGTTTCAGATAACTAATGAAGGCTTAGTCACCCGACCTCTCAATCAACAGGTTAATTTTAATTTCTTACTCAAACCTGAAGTAAAAGAACTCAGGCAACTTAAAGATGAATCTGTTTCCAAGTACCTTAGAAAAATTAGCCAGATAAATTTTCTTAAACAAGAAATTGATCATAAAAGACTTTTAGAACAACTAAAATGTCCAATCTTAAATGAGCAGATTAATCAGTTCAAAGAAAGACTTGAAAATGAAGTTTGCTCTATGCTTCCTACAGCCTTCTGGCATAGGAAAAAACATACAGTCGAACTTCCTTATATTAAAACATTTAATGAAAAACAGATCCCTACTATATATATATATATATATATATATATATATATATAATGTATATGTATACATATTTATATTTATATGTCTACTTTTTCTTTATATGCATATTTATACGTAGACATGTATATATATATTCAAATTATTGATCACCCATTAAATTCGTATTTTGAACTTTTAACCACTCATTGTATATACTAATACATTTTATTTGAAAAACAATAAATTGATGTCACATGCTTGTCACCCAATTAATTTCACATGCGCTAAGGTATATAAAATAATAAACTCATATTTGTCAATATTCTTATTTAACTTTTCACACTTGAATAAAACAATTCCCCCTATAATCATTATTTATAAATTATTTCTGAATATTAAAATTTTCATTGTTTAGGTTTAGATCTCATATCATTGATTGTAATTAAATACTGCTTGCCACTCCTACGGATGCATGTCACATATGAATATGCTTATTAAAAATATTGCATATTTGTTATGCTTGTTCGGGTTTTAAAATTGTTCCCTCTTTAAGAATTTCGTCCTCAAAATTTTGCTTATCAATCTGAAACAAGTAAATATATTTTTTTTTCTAACTATTTTAATTTTATATATGATGACTAAAATAAGTACTTGTATTTAAACCCCTGACATAAAATAAAAAGCTTAATCAGTTTTCCCAGATCTCATATTCGTTTTGTCACTTTAGTTCTTATTATATTAATTTTATCAATTTGGTCTCTAAAGTTGAATTTGTGTAATTTTGGTACTTAATCAGATAATTCGTTAAATGTTTTACGAAAGTGATCATGTGTCATTCTTTTCAGACTATATCACATGCCTAACAAGTAATCATTCCGTAAAAAACTTAACAATCTGCCTATGCAATCATTCAAATATGAATTGAATACTTTAATAATCAAATTGATACTTTAGAAACTAAATTTCAAAACTAGCATACTTTAGGACCAAAAGTGTATTAACCCAAATATAATTCTTATAATTACCAATTTTGAGCTTTGTTTCTAACTACTTTAGATTAATCATATAGATCAACACAACACAAAATGCAAAAACTTGCGAGATAAACAAAAGAAGAGAAATAAGGCAAATTAAAAGAATTAATGATAATCACATAGATTAAGTCGTAGTCAAGGACAAACATGAGTTAGTTTTCTTAGCTTTGAATTGAAGGGATATTATTTGGTTGGCATTTAGAACCATTCTCTCTTTTACTCTACTGGACGGACCAGAGCAAAACACTCCTTAGTCAATCACACACACACATAAACTGAGTATAGAAAGAGAGAGCATATCTTTGACGTCCGTTTGGTTGTTTGTCGGGCGCCACCACTACAGAGCCGTAGAAAAAGTCTCTCACCCTCTCACCCTCTTACCATATATACAACTCCACCACCACTACTACTACAAGAACAAACTCCACCCATTTCTCTTCATTCCTAACTCAGTTCTCTCCCCTCCTCTCTCTCTTTAGCTTGTTTAGTTTTATTTATGGCTTGTATTCGGGATGAACAACCAAATTTTAAGCACTTTTGTAGGATTTGTAAGAAGGGTTTTATGTGTGGGAGAGCTCTAGGTGGACACATGAGAGCTCATGGTATAGGAGATGAGAGTGGAAACATTGAAGATGAGAGTCAGTCGACCGATTGGGACGATAAGCTCGGAGGGAGTGATCGGACAAGCAACAAGAGAATGTACTCATTAAGAGCAAACCCTAATAGATTAAAAAGTTTCCCGGTCTGTGAGAATTGTGGGAAAGAGTTCTTGTCCTGGAAATCCTTTCTTGAACATGGAAAATGCAGCTCTGACTACGCTGAGTCGCTCGTATCTTCGCGGGAATCTGACGATGATGATACTGGAGGATAAAGGAGGTGTGGATGGTCTAAGAGGAAGAGATCATTTAGGGCTAAGGCGGGTAGTTTGACTATTTTCACTTCAATTTGCCCTTTAAATGGAGATGAAGACCTAATCCTAGCACAATCTCTCATGTCCTTATCTAGTGGTAGGGTTGAGTCATTAGTGGTGGAGACGGAAGAGTTCTGTGCCTCCTCCTTTAGTAAGGTGGAGGAGCGGCGAAAGCCTATGAATTTAGGTTCCGCCGCTCCGGTACTTAAGAGTCGAGTACATTTGAACAATGTCAAAGGGGTTGCCAAAGGAATGTTTGAGTGTAAAGCATGCAAGAAAGTGTTCAATTCCCACCAAGCATTGGGTGGACATAGAGCTAGTCATAAGAAGGTTAAAGGTTGTTTTGCAGCCAAGAAAGATCATCTCGAAAATAGTGTAGCCGATGAAGATGTGATCACACATGAAGAATTATTCCCATCAAAATCACCAACCTCATTACAGTTCGAGTTCGGTTCGAATGCTATGTCTCCGGGAGGGTCGAGGAGATCAGAAATACATGAATGCTCGATATGTCACCGGAGTTTTTCCACCGGACAAGCCTTAGGTGGCCACAAGAGGTGTCATTGGCTCAATTCGGATACGCCGGAAACATCTTCCCTCTCTAGAATTCACCATTTTCATGACCAAATGGAGCAAACCAATCATAAAAAACCCCAGTTGATGATCAACAAATCTGAGGCTCTTGATCTCAACCTTCCGCCAAGATTTGATGAAATGACCAGAATCCGGCGAGACCCTCCTAACCCGTTAAGCTGTCAAATCTCCACACAAATACATTTGCACCCATGGATAGATGTTGTTGGAGAGGCTAAAGATGATGATAATTGTCATTGTGATCACCAGCAGAACCAAAAGAACAATGAAGATGACAAAGACAACATCAATGTGGATGATGATGAAACTGACAGTAAGGTGAAGTTAGCAAAGTTAAGTGACCTAAAGGACATGAAGATTAGTGGTAGTATCTCTACATGGTTGGAGGTTGGGATTGGTTCAACCACTGATTGTGGGTGCTGACACATAATTTTTTAAATTTTTCATGCAAATATGTTAGTTGAATATATATTTGAATTGAGACACTGTTATTACAATCATACTGAAAACAAACTTGCCCTCTCTCTCTTTTTACTTTATAATTTGAGTACATAATATATTTTGGAGTCAAGTATGAGAGATTTATTTCTTATGAATACCTTAATGTCGATGCAGAAGATTTACTTTTGACCGGACTAGGGAAGGGATTAATCGAAATACGCGTAAGTTGATCCGAAAACTCTTAACAGTTGAACAAAAAAAAAATAGTGAAGTGTGTTCAATACTAAAATCCACTAATAAAATAATAATAATCATTAAGTTCCCAAATTATAATTCAATAACATTACTATCCAACTATTACACATTTTATGTTGAACTCTTGCCCAAGTCCCTAGGCTACCAACCTTGTGTTTAGACACCAATCTAATGGTTCAGGTCTGAAATGGTCAATAGGTCAACCCTTGTAATATACTATAGTCTCAATTGGCGAACAGTTGACATCGAGGTGTCAAATCTTTTCGTGGATGTGAGTTTTGGTTTACTTAATTATATTTATATTTATTCAAACTAAATACATAATTTAAGCAATTGAAAAAATACAAGTAACATGATTTTCTAATACTTCACATTTTCAATTACCTAAGAGGCTAAGAGTATAAAAATAAAAATAAAACAATATATTCTATACCAAACCTTTTATCCGACACAAAGCCAAGAACATATTTGATCAATGTTCAGGCCCAGGCCCAAATCATGGGCCTAAGATGAATATTTACTCTCGAAACATAAAAATTTGTGTCCCTCTCAAATAAATCTCCCCTAAAGTTTTAATTTTTTTATGGAAAACGGATATAGGAGGGAGGAGCAGCACGACCACTTTGTGTGGTGGAGTTGATCAAAACGACGCCGTTTTGATCAACACCATGATGTTAAATTGGGGTGCCTTCCCAACACCATTAAATTCAATGTCATAGCCAATGTCACTTTTAAATGCTTGCATAATAGACAAACGTTGACCCAACAATAAGGATATTTAAGGAAACGGTTGTGCCGCTTTAATACTACTTTATTCATTTGAGCCAACACCATTAAGTTTAATATCATAGCTAATGTCACATTTAAATGCTTGCATAATAGACAAACGTTGATCCAACAATAAGGATATTTACGGAAACGGGTTTGTGTTTAATAGTACTCCCAAAAATTTTAAAAAATGAAAAACTCTAATACTGTATGAAGAAAGAAAAGAAAAGTGACTGAATTAGGATTTTTCTTTTGAAATTTGAATTTGGGTTCATATACCATGTATAACCAATGACACGACATTGTCATTACAACAATTATTTACTTGATTTTAAGATACAAACACATGGAGTCAAGGTGCAATTCATCATAAAAATGCTACTGGGATCTTATACTATAAGATAATGTTTGACCTTAAAAGCTTAGTTTGCCAAAAGGCAATGAACATAATGCTCCATTTTCTCATCAACACCTATAACAACTACTTTACTTGCTCCAGCTGAACCCAAATGCTTGCTAACCAATCCATTATATTCTAAACCACCCACTTAGTCAATCACTCGGGTACACCATTAAAAGGGGATCTACTGTTCAACACCATTTTGTTAGGCTAAATCATCATTCAGAGAGAGAGAGAGAGGTCAATGGGTTCTTTTTGTTCCAACTTTAAGGACAATAGGCAAGGAAAGGGTCTTTACCTCTCCTTACCTTCAAGCCGAAGCTTCATACTATATACGGCTGCGGAGACTATTACGGTACCTAAGCATAAGAGTACACCACTTGTATAATTTCTTTATTTTATAAATTTTTATTATTTTATTAATTTTAGTCAATAATTACAAATCATCTAATTTAAATTGAGACAGCACCCATCCCACCGACTTGGGTACCGTAGACTTGCCCATTCGGCTGTTATGAGAGCACTGAGAGGAGTTTAAAGAGTCTGAATTGGTCCAACCAACAAAGTAATGAATAACTTCTGAGAGAAGAATAAACGGTAATAAGGGCGAAGTTATATATTCAGACATTTTGAATTTAAATTTTAACAATTTATTGGGAGTAGATAACGAGAAATTTATCCTTCGTAAATACCCTAATCCCGACGTGGATGACCTGCTTTTAACCGGACCGAAGAAAGAATTAATTGAGGTGTGCATAAACTGATCTGAATATCTTTAACTGTTGAACTAAAAATTTAAAAAAAATAAATAATGAAAAATATTATACCTTGGGTTGGTCTATAACAAGTAGATCCTCAATAACCAGTGATGGCAATTCTGGAAGAATTTTCCTGGTTAATACTTTAATGTTCAAATTTGATATGTCAGAAGAGTTGCGTTAATTAACACGATGCATATACTTTTTAAAGAATATCACGCATCTTAATTTTGTATAAGATTCATAAATTTTAAGAATACATGATTGATACGATTCTTGATTATTAAAAAAAAAAAAATAGATCCTAGGGATGAAAGTATGAACCTTGGCTTGTTTTGAAATGGAAAATGGATAATAAAAATTACTTATGGAAAGTTTCAATGGTAGAATTGGACTAACCATCCCTCGGTAAGTAACTTATAATACAAGGATTAAAAAGATTATTTTTGTTGGATCAGTTCCAACCTAGTACGAGGTCAATCCCAAAATACTTGGTAATTTGGTATTTATTTAAATAATTGATTTCCATTTTGGATTAAAGTATCCAAAAGGAAATTTAAATTCATGAAGTACGCTGGTTGTAATCTAGAGTTTTCGATGGTAGATATTTTAAATACTTGGTTTCAATTTAGATAAAATAATAAAAAAAAAAAATTTACGTGGTTTGTAGTCTCACGTTTTCAAAATTCACCCCAGACTCAATCTAAATTGAAACCCTAACTTACGTAACCTTAAAATTAAACACAAATTAAGACAGAATTCAACTAGAATTACACTTGAATTAATCTCAATATTTTTGAATTAAATAATTTAAGCATAATCACCCGAGTTGGTGGTCTAGTGGTAAACAGTATTCATTTAGGATCGTTCTTAACTCCCATGTGATTATCAAGGAGGGTTCAATTTACATAAGCAACACGGTTTGTTGCTTGACTTTAGTGGTGTTGTGCGGACTGGTTGCCCTTCCGAATTAGCAGTTATTACTCAAATCGAACATTATACATTGAGGAGACCCTCATGGTCACGTCGAGAGGGAATTACTATCTATTGGTCGTCATTCCTTTTTTACAAAACAAAATAATAATAATAATAATAATTTAAGCATGAACAACACCTAAATTGAATGATCAGGATTGAATTCAAGCAAAGAATTTTAGTTTCTCAATCTGTGGGCATTGCACCTTCTACTCTACCAGTGACTTCACCACTGCATCCCCCTTTATTGTTTTGTGCATATCTTTCATCACTTTTACTTTTTTGGGTTCAAACTTATCACTTGGTGGACAAATTTGAAATCAAAAAAGAAAAACTTTGTGAACAAGATAAAGATCATAAAAGTTTAGTACATATTGATAGCAGTCAGTCCAGAAATATGACCCAAAAAGGAAAAGTATTGCACTGTATAACCTATTAAATATACCTTAATTTCGTCGTGAATGATTTATCTTTGACCAGACCAATGAGGAAATTAGTCAAAGTGCATTTAAATTGGTTCGAACACCGTTGACCGTTGACCGTTGAACCAAAAAAAAAATTAATATGGTTCTTGCTACCATGCCACCATATGTTAGGGATGTGTTATGTCGTGTCAATCTATTTATTTTGTGTCGTATTCGTATTGACATGTATAACCCTTGAATAAAAAAATTAATGCTCAATTTTATTTCTAAAATTTTATTATCACTTAATCGAATTTATGATCATATTTTTTTTATAAACTAAAAATTAACTTAATAAATATAATAATAAAAAATGAGTAAAAATATTTTTTTTGTACAAGAATTAGGTCACTATTTGATAAACTATAATAAAAAAAATTAGGATTTTATTCTTATAATACTACTTAAATGTGTTAATTTCGTATTGTTCGTATTTGACACTAATCCAATTCATTTATTATTTGTGTTAATAGGTTATGTCATATACGAGTTTGTGTAGAAAAATGACATACCCTAATTCCGTTAATTTCGTATCGATTTCGAATCATGTTTTCATGATGTGTCAGAAATTGTCACTCCAATCATTAGTATTGTATTGAAATTGATAAGAATAGTTTATTTTGGTTTTAATAATTTCCAATCATTGATTGAAAAATAATAAAATAACAAAAAATAAAAATAAAAAACGTTTTATGTGTTACATTTTTATTGAATGAAAATGAAAAATAAAATATAAAAAATTTATTTTTGGGTACCATAGCTGACCTTATTAATATGAAAAGGATTCTATTGGACAAATGTCAACAGCATGCACTTGAATTGACCGTATTTGCAAAGTGGTTAACATTTTCTTTCTTGTTAATTGAATTGAGTTAGAGCCCTTTGTCTCACCTTGTCAAAGACGAGTTGTTTTCTCTTTTATTTTTTTCTTTGATTGCTATAGCTTTAATTGATAGTTGTCTATATATATATACTATTCGGTGAATCTCTTTATTGTCAATCTTACCCTTATTCTCATTGTCACTGCCATTCCTATCTCTAACCCGTCCTATAACATTATAGGAAATCATTATTAATGTACAAAATTGATGTTTTAAAAAATTTAAATATAAAGTATATAATAAAAATGCCAAAAACAAAAACAAAAAAAACTAATTATGATAAAATTTAGAAGTGATTTTATACATAGTCCTCATGGAAGAAATAGATTGAGGGAAAGCAATACATTTGCATTAAATTATTTAAGACTAAGAGAAAATTAAATTTGGAGAGAAAATGTGTGACAATTCTTCTTATCGAAAAATAATTGTTTTACATTTATAAACGCATACATATATGTATGAGAAATAAAAATCAAAAAACATGAGAATGAATATTTAGAGGCACGCGAATTGGGGGAAAGATTGCACCAATAAGGGAAGGGAAAAAGCAAGAAATAGATAAGTAGAATAGTTGACACATGCTGGTCAATTCAATACGTGCGTTATTTTCGTTCTTTTTTATTTAAGATGTCCTATCCTCTAGTAAAATGCTCTTTAACCCTTCTTGCTCATCTGAAAACTCTCGCAAAATCTCATCCCTAGCATTGTAGAATTGTTTTAAACTTACCTACACAGCATAGCATATGCAAGTCCTTTATTGGGTTAAACAGGCCACAAGCAATCAATTCACTTAAATAGTTTTAGCCTTCTTTGAGTATGTGTGTGTGTTAACTACAAGCTTTCTTGGGCAGAAGCAAGTGGTTTATGACTGGATTCGAATTCAAAATTTTCAGATTATAAGAATTTGATTGTAGCTCAAGATCTCCATGTAATAACACTTTGCCCGATGGTAAGTTACTTTTTCCTTAAAATTCAATTTTGTTAGGATTGCCACTATCTAATAAATTTGGTTTTTTTGTCCATAACTCCCAAGGTAAATATCCATGGATGGTCCTAGATTCTAACCCAAAATTTTTGCAATAAGAATTTGATTCGAACTTAAGCAATTGGGCTAGCTGAGTTGGTTACCATTAATTCTCTCAAGATTCAACTCTCTAAGAGCTCAAAGAACCAATTATTGCTAGAAGTAAATATTGATTGTTATTGTCCTCCTTCTTGGACATTTCATATGTTCTCTTACGGGTTTCTTTGCACCCTTCGGTGAGTGTTTTTCCTTATGTTATATATATCTCTTTCAATGTCAATTGTAGTTCAAGAAGTAAAAGAGACGAACTGTAAACTCAAACGTTTAAAATTACTCTGTATTCGGTATGAATGATCTATCTTTGACCAGATCGAATAAGAGATTAGTCGAAACACGCATAAATTGACCTAGATACCCATGACCATTGAACTAAAAAAAAAAGATATCGAAACGTTCTTCCCCAAATTCATTATGGTACTATTCACCAAAATTGATTGTTGCCATTTGCCCAAAGAATCCAAAAGTAGGATAATTCTTGGTGAGCTTTGTGACATCAAATTGGCCCAATTAAGTAAAAGACAAAGACCGAGGAGGCCAAAAACTACACATAGAAAAGTTAAATGATGTGATTATCAATATATAAATAAAGCATGTTTAGTCCCAGCATAAGAACAGGACTAAGTCCATCTTTGCCCTATCAAAACGGCAATTTACTCCCTTAGAAAACTCCACTCTCAAAGGGTGGTTGGTTTCCTACTCATTTCCCACCCTTCATTTCTCATCAGACAATTCAACCAAAAGATCCAAAATTGAAGGGAACAATGGGGAAAAGTTATTTAGTTTCTATTCACCAATAATCTCTCTAAAAAAAAGAAGATAAATAAGGGGTTAAAAAAAATTGATCTAATCGGTTTTCCAAACTTGTCCAACACTCGGATTTGGATTTTAATTTATCGGAATTGTATCCCCCGTTGTATTTTTATACCACCATGTAAAAGTAAATCCCCTAAAATATATAGTAGGTAACTTTACGATTAAAAAAAAAAGGTATCGGAAGAGATCTGATTCCGTTTTCAAAATCGACTTTCGTTGTTTTTCAATACTAAATCACATGCGTTGTATTAATAGTGGACCAACTCACTTGAATTCGATAATGGTTAATCACCGGTCGAAGAAAATTCAAGGAAATTGCATTGAAGAGATTGAGAAAAAAAATTGTAACTAACAATTGATAATAAGGTTGAATTATATTTACTCTAGCAATAGTTTTCTTTAGTGGATCATTTTTTAGTGTGGAAAACCCTTTTGGTCATCTGGTCCACGTAATTACTTTATTGTGATTCGTCGTTACAACAAACCCCAACAGTTTATTGACTTGTACGAAACAAGCCATCGGCTTGTTCTAGTAATCTCCCCCTTAATTCCTAAAATACCCTTTAGTTAGTTTTGACCATTTTAAAAATAATTATGAAAAATTAAAACTAAGAAAATGACGAAATAGCAGGTAGATTAATGTACTTTTTGACTCTAAGACCCTTTATTGAATTTTGATAAAATTTTAAAAAGTTCATGAAAAAAGGAAGTAAGAAAAAAATCAAAACAGCACAAAGATTAATAAAGTTATTTATCAATGTACAGTAATTTTGAAACAATATTACTAATATAGCAGGTTTTATTGTTAAAAGCAAATTTATTTAATCCATTTTTAAAAAGTTTTAAAAATTGATAAATAAGTTCAAAATTATAGTACATCGGTAATATTTTTCAAAAAAGCTATATCTTGGTAAATAACTCAAGATTAATATGGACTTTTTTAAATATCAATCCCCTTTTGGTTTTTTGACTAAATTAAAAAATTTTGAAAAAAGAATAGAAAAAGTAACAAAATATCACAAAGATTAATTTACTTTTTTTTTTTCAGTCATTGGAAGAATAAATTCTCAGTGAGGACAGTTATGTAAATGCAAGAATGGGGTGGAAATAAATGCAAAGCCCGCATGTTACATCTCTCTCTCTCTCTGCCTTCATGCATACGCTTTAATTAAGATTTGATTTATTACTTTTTGCCGTTTTAAAGAAAATTACTCCAAATAAAATCCAAATCTAATTTCCGGAATTTTGCTTAAATTATATTCTGTATATATTTGTATACATCTCTGGGTGGAAGAATGCTTGTCACCTACTCCTTTTGGTTTCCACTCTCTCCATACTTGTTCAGAACAGAGGGAGAGAGAGCATTTTGTGGGTAGTTTTTGTTTGTAAGTAATGGAGAAAAATAGGTGTAAGCTCTGCTTAAGGAGCTTTGCCAATGGCAGAGCTTTGGGTGGGCATATGAGATCTCACATGTTTAATCTCTATGTTCCTTCAAAACCAGAGCAAGAACAACCCAGTAACCAACTCGGTGAAGAGACTGAGTCAGATTCATCAGCTTCTTCTTCCTCAGAAGAAGAAGAAGAAGAAAAAGCCTTGTTGAATTATGGGTTGAGAGAGAATCCCAAGAGGAGTGTCCGTTTGGTAGATCCTGAGTTCTCTTTCACAGCTGGTTCTGTTGTTCTTCAGGACAGAGAAAGTGAGACTGAGTCATCAAAGAACCCAACTCGGAGACGATCAAAGCGGATTCGAACAGGGATTTCAGAGCAAAATCAATACTTAAAAGAGCCAGAAATCAAAAAACCCAAGCTGGGTAAACTCAGCAAGTCCGAGGCATCAGGGGTTGAGCCTGAACCAGTAAGTTCGATCTCAGACACCACTCCAGAAGAAGATGTTGCTTATTGTTTGATGTTGTTGTCAAGAGATAGATGGAGGAGAGGGAAAGATGATCAAGAACAGGAACATGAACAACTTGAAGAAGATCAAGAGGAGGCAAAGAACTCCATTGATGATCGTTCTGAGGATTCTGATTTTCATAAAGCAAGAAGGTCTCGGGCTCGAGGCAAGTACAAGTGTGAAACTTGTAACAAAGTGTTTAGATCATACCAAGCACTTGGTGGTCACAGAGCAAGTCACAAAAAGATCAAAGCAATTAATATTAATAGTTCTTCAGCACAAGAACAAAGTCCAGAGGAGAGAGAAAATGTAGGTAATTCTACAATGGTGGTGGAGAAAATCCATGAATGTCCTGTTTGTTACAGAGTGTTCTCATCTGGTCAAGCACTTGGTGGGCACAAGAGATCACATGTTCTTGGTTCAGGGGCAACTACTACCATTACTGTTGCTTCAAAATCATTCTCTAAATTTGGTGAAACTTTGATAGATCTTAATCTTCCTGCTCCAATTGATGATGATGATATCAGCCAAATCGAGCTTTCCGCAGTTTCTGATGCTGAATTTATCAACCCAATTAAACACTGAACCCTGAAAGTTGAATTTTTTGCAACCAACGATGAATTCAGAGGTAAATTTTTGTTGTTCTTCATATTTATGGATCTAGAGGCCATATCATTATGTTTTTTGGACAATTGGGTCAATGGGTTTTTCTCTATATTCAACATATTCTCATTCATAATCTGACTGTATTTGATTTCTTTTGAATTGGTTATATTGCAGTAATAGCTGATTTAGAACATCCATTAATAGAGAAACTTCTGGGAAATTTTTTTTTGTTCATTTCATTCCCAAATTCATACTCAAATAGTTTTCTGTTCCCATGAATTCCAATGGTATTCAATTTGTTCAAATTGTTTATCACATTTTTTTTGTTTGGGATGAAGGAGGAGGACCCAGCATTGTTGTTAATAGGGCTGAGATTGAACCCGGATTGGGCTTGGCTCGGCTCAGTTCGTAGAAAACTCACGCTCGAGTTCGACTTGTATTTTAAACGAATTGAATACACTTGACTCATATTTTAAACGAGTTGAGTTTGAATAATTTTTTAAATTTTTTTTAAAAAAACGAGTTCAACAAATTTGATTCAAACTCACAAAACTCGGCTCGATTATCAGGACTATTATTAAAGGGGTCTGATCATAGATTCCACCTGTCCCAGCTAACTATTTTTCCTCAATGGTCTTTTCTTTGGTAAAAGTTGCAGTCTTTTAAAGAAGATGACCAAGAGCCAAATTTAATTTCTATTATTAGAAAATAACTTTCACCTGTCAGTATTGTCGTTGCACAGTTGGTGAAGCAGAAGCGACTAATTTTCTCTTCTCTTTTATTTTTTTTTTTTTTTTGATATTATAGTTACGGTAGCTGATCAAAGCCAGGTAATTTATGTTAGAATTAGAGAATCATAAGGAATAAATCCTTAATTTTGATTGCAAAGGAGTTGTCTTGTAACCAAGTTTCGAATTCACAGTTTACTATTCATTTTTATCTCCACTCAAACATTTCTCTTTTTTCTCTCTCATGCATAAACAACTTTCCTCGTGAAAAATATTAGGTGTAACAGTGAAACCACGTCTTCTAAACTTTGCCCCTAGATCCAAAATGAAAGTAGGGAGAGATAATTTATTTAGTGACCAAAATATCCTCCACAAAACATTTAATTTACATTAAATTCTCTTTCCATAGTTAGAAAATCTTGAAGAGATGACAGATAGAAAGTGCCAAATCCTTGTTTTAACTGAGGAAATCTTTTTCTTTTGCTTTGGCATGACCAAAGAATCTTGGTCATGCAACCCTACAGAAAGTATATTGAAAACTTCATTCACATAACTATTTTAATAGGGATTAATTCGTCTTTTCACTAACAAGGGCCCTCATTAATGGATAATGAAGGGTGATATTGTGACTAAATCATCACTTAATCTGTTAATCCACTTTCTTTTGGTTAGAAAGAATAAAAGTGAAAGTAAGAAAATGATGAGAAAGAGAGAAAAATGAAATTTTTAGTATGTATTTAGTTAGAATAAGAATTTTACAAGAAAGTTACACGGAAAATTTTGTGGTTTAAAAAGTATGAAAGTTAGGAGAGTTTTTTTTATTCGTTTTAATTGTCCATACTAGACCTTTTAAAATGATTGACCAATCAAATAGCTAAAAAAAAAAAAAAGAAGGGTAAAATGGGAACCAAAATGTTACATCACTATTTCTTTGTGTTTCCGTAAGAAAAAAGTTAGTTATTTGTAAAAAAATATATAGATACAAGAAAATTAATTTTTTTATTATTTTTTATTTCATGTTAACCAATCACATGAAAAATTTTAAAAATTAATTTTCTATCATTTTTCTTGTCGTTCAACTAGAGCCAACACAAGAGGGATATATTGCTAGTTAAAGTTGATAATCAAGTATGTTGAGCTATTTTTTTTTAAACGAATTTATATAATTGTTTAAATTTGCCTTGTTTAAAAAAGGAGCCGAGCTCAAATAACTCGTCTATTTTACATGTAAACGAATCAAACTTTGCAAGTTCGAATCGAGTTTTTTTAGGCTTATTTTCTAAGTGAATCTAAAAAATAGTTTGAGTCAAGTTCTATCCAAACCGAATCTGAATAGCTTTAGGTCCTATCCGAATTGAGCCCGAGTTACTTTATGTTCATATTAAAGTTCAAGAATTTTGGTTTTAGGAATTCTTTAATATTTAATGGAATTTCATGAATCTTGTTTTTTTAGGAATTCTTTAATCTTGGGTAGCAAAATTTCCACTTAACTGTATTTATTTTGAATTGCACCTTATGCTTAAATCTCACAAATTACATAGGACCCATACTAAACTTTTAGTTCTATAACATTATCAAAACTTGGGCTTACGATCGATTTGTCGAGATAAGCGTGGCGGTGAAGCATTCGTCACGTAATTTTTATTTTATCACTATTGATGGAGGAGAAAGTATTCGAATTTGGATTGCCAAAGTTGTCGCATATGATCGACAATTCGCCATTTGGATATAAATGAAGTTGGAATCTATTCCCATTTGGATATAAGTTAGCAAAGTTACATGTCAATTTGAAAAGTTTCATTACATTTACTGGATGTATTATGCTTTGCTTCAGGTCAAAATTATCATACTAATATTCGGTCCAGAATGTAAATAAGATTCTTTCCCTATCTTGCTTTTTCACAAGAAAAGAAAAGGTTAAAATAAAGTGCAAACATACCTACAAAATGAGCTCTAGTGCTAGAATATACCACTTTTCCCCCCTTTCACACTTCAATTTTTATGTTTTTTTCCCCTGATGAGTTGATGTGGTGAGTTAGGCACTCAATTTTAGTGTGTTATGATCATAATTGTCCCACACTATGAGCTTGACTATGTTTGAATAAACCCTTGGACACGTTTCTATTACTCTTCAATTTTTAAGATTGAGTTCTACCAACTAGTTCGTATCATTTGGTATCAAAGTTTGGCATCACGTTGGTTATAGAATAAAACACAACATATAACATGAGATTCTAAGAGCGATGTATAGACTATAGTATAAGCCAAATGGTCACGTTGTTGGGTTAGTGTCAATAGAGTGGCCGTGAATCAATTGTCGAAGCGTGGTGTAGCATCTCACCCCCACCATCAAGATATTGTCTACTTTGGGTTGCCTCTCACGATTTTGTTATTCTAGATTTTTGTCTAGAAAATGCCTCTTGATAGTTAAGGCAGGAAAACAACAAATATAGCTCAAGAACTTTTCCTCTCCAAGCGACGTAAGATGGGGCACCTGGCACTTGTAGCACCTCACCACACTTAACTTGAGCTATTGACCATGTTGGCTACTACACGTAGAGTGTATATTATGATCCTAATTATCCCACATGTATCTAACTCTTAGACACCGTTTTTGTTAGTTGATTTTCAAAAGTTTGTTCTCATGAGTTCATATATCACAGTTGTTGTGAGTGAACTTTCACCCACAACCACCATTTGGATTCTTTGTTCATTTCAAATGTGGATATGTCATCCTCATGACAATCTTTCCTTGGGTCTTAAAAACCCACCCCATTTCACTCTCTTTAAATGCTGATCTAATCAGCCAAGAAAAACATTACCAAAGAGGCTAAGAACAGTAACACAGGTAGGACAGAGTTTGGTTGGCTGGCTTTTATGGTTGGGTGTGGGAGGTCTTGAGTCGGTAGGTCGGCACTTTGTTTCTTTCAAAAGGTTAAAAGAGAAAAGAAACCAAAGGACGAGGGGTAAGGTCTTGTGAGAGTGAGTGCCACTTCACATTTTCTCTCTCACACACCAAGTGGTGGTCTGGTGGGTGAAATTTTTTTCCTTGGCATTGTTGAAGTTTTTTGAAGAAAAAGAGAAACAATAATGCTATTTGAATCTTAAGGGGTAGTTCAATTGATAATAAAGACGAGCTGCAAAATCAGATATCCTGAGTTTGAATTTTGAATAATTTTTTGGGTCAGGTCATGAGAAATTTATTTTTTATGATCTTAACATAGAAAATTATACATAAGTCTGAATATCAAACTAAAATCTTTAATGAATTTTCTATAGAATCCTGCATGACCTAGAAAGGATTGAACATCTTTTATAGTCTTAGGTAGAGGAAGATTGATTATTAAATTAATTTTAGTCTTGTAAACTTCAATCCCCTCTATATAAACTGTGATTCTTATGCAGACTTAAGACTTCAAAATGAATGAGTCAACAATGATCTTTTACCGTCTTTTTCTCTTCAAAGTTCTAACTTAGACTACACCATCATCATCAACAATATCATCATTGAACAGCACACCTTGTTTTCCTTTATTTTTCTTTATTTTAGAGAACATCAATATATACTTGAATTAGAATCCACTTCATTACCAAATTTTCTCGATCCCTTCAATGTTAAATCAATCATCGTATATTAGTGAGAGACCAACTCGAATATGGAGAGTTCCACCTAGAATTATAATGGGTGGTCTAGCAATGAGAACATTTGATAACTTTGGAAAATTAGAGTGAATTTGGATTGGCACATTTACAAGTACAACGGGTGAAGAGCACTTCCTTGCTCTTTCTTCTTAATCTTTAGAGTTAGGTTCAAGTCACTAATAATGCCTATACCTTGGAAAAAAGTTCAATATTGGAAATAGATTGATTCAAGGAAATCAAGTACAAGTATAGAGGAGGGAAAGTGAGTTTGGGAAAGTGAGTTTTTAAGTTGAGACCCTTAAATCTATATTATTTCGTAATTGCTGATTGAAGAAGGAAATGTAGAATCTCATGAACCACGTCTTCCACTCCTGCCAAGTCCATATGGGACAAAGCCCAAAAGGGGTTTTCACACGGGAAAAAAAATCGTTTTCTTCACTCTAGGAAATAGGGAGATAAAAGGAAATTAAACCTCATTGGAGCATTTATGTAACACCTTTAGATGTATATTGTAACTATTAAAATTGTGACAGTCAGTCTATTTCGTTCAATTTTTCATCAAAATAAACGAAAAATTAACCTGAGATATGAATTTCCTATATATAATTTATTTTCAATTTTTTGCATCAAACTTATGGGACTTGGCACATGAAAGATGAGTCAAGTAGCTAGCAATGATTGTGATGTAACACATTAAGAAACTTTACCTAAAAAGACATAGAAAAAG